AGCCTACAGTCTTTTTGACCACAAGCGCTTTTGATGTTTCGATAGGTCAGATTTTACACAAAGCATTCAATTTATCATCAGCTATAGTATTAGGTCGTATGAGTGTCGTTGTACTACTAAGCTTTTTCACATATATCATTCATTATTAAGAGGCAAAAAGCTACAAAAAGCGTGCATATCCTCCTGCTCAAATATTTTGACCAATTTATCATTTTCTACTAAAAGAAAAAGCTCCAGAACAATTATTGCCGTATTTTAAAAATTAAAGAACAGAAGAAACGTCATTGGAAGGTCTTAAATTCAAGGTGAAATTATAAGGAACCTAAGGATTTCTACACCTCTGACATAAAATACTTACTTTTAGGATTGTGTGGTAGCCAATGTATCATTAGTTTTGTGACGGTTGATATTCAACGTGTTCTTAGTCTTCGTAATTTGCCAGTCTAGGCAATTGTGACCAAATAGCGCCTGACGGTTATAAATCAGAAGGCAAACATATACACATATATATAAACATTTTAATCTTATTAATTCATTCACCAATTCGTCAACTCGCTCGTCAGTGTGCTTCCCCTGCTCTTTGTGTTTGTGGTCTGCTGGCCCACTTTGTGGTGTGTCAAAAATAAACGTATTGAACCCCTCATGCTTGCCTTCTGATTTATAACCATCAGGCGCTATTTGGTTACATATTTAAGAGATTAACAATAAAGCTATTAGGATGAACATGCGCGTTGGCGTAAGCAATATTCAATCCTAACAGCTGATACAAACCAGACAATAGTAACAAAAAATGATGCACAAAAGTTGTTGCTAAGAAAGTGGCTTGTTTAAATAAGTTAATCGAAAGGCTTAACAAAATTAGATATAAGCGAACTCAAATGTATTTTGAGGCATTGACTGCACTAATCTTCCTTTTTGAAGTTTACATCAATGTTTTATTAAACACTTCAGTCCTACGCTCATTGCACACAGACACGTCTTTCTTTTAGAAACTACTGTGATAATCATTCCCTACTGATATGTTTGCTCTCATTCTATTTTTGACCTGACGGTTTCATGGAAATTCCGCTCCTGATAACGCTGTTGCCCATAACACTGGTCTAACCGAATGTCAGAAATCAAGGGGTTAAAAAATATTTTTTCAAGTTAAACGATGTCTCGAAAAATATGTGATCTGAGCTAACTGGTCGCTCTTACAACATTTTAAGCATTGGTGATCCGGTGTAAATGTGTGACCGGGCATCTTCAGATGGGTTGTGTTAGGCATAACTAATATGGTCAGCATCAATGTCGAGGACCTACAACCACCAGTAGCTAGGACTGTTGCAACGGATTGACTGTATCACGACCGAATTTTTCAGAGGTCTTGGACCAATTTTTAAGTGCGGAATGAGTGAGTGAAGAAATTAGTTCGGTTGTTACAAAGACGTTTAAAACTAAATGGTAAAGACTTGCTGGAGTATAGTCACAATACAAATTTCAATGCTAATTATCAGGCATTCATTATTATTCTGTAGCAGTAAGTAGGTGTCGGCATCTGATGACTTTCAAGGCAGTCTGAGAAGCTTTAACCTCTTCTAGGCAGATAACCGGTATCTTTGTGAAGAACTAAGATAGCAGCTTTCAGAGATCCGTCCCTGTTTTAGGACCCTTCATGTAGGCCAAAGCTTATGTCTGAAAGCAAATAGTATTCATCAAAACTAATTTTTTTAACAATAATTCGAACCTGCGTATTAATCAAATATTGAAGTGTCAAACTCCATATCAGCCAAATTTGAGTAAGTATTGGCGCGCAAGGTTTGAAGTTGGTCTTTGTGTTACTATAATGGGGCTTGCTCGAGCTAAAGATGGTAATCCATCAACCCGATTCTATGAAAATCCGGAAATTATTGCTACTTTCGACCCAGTTAGAATCTGGTTGACAAGAAACCACAAAAAGTATACGCAAACTGAGCCTCCCACAAATAAGAGTCTTGCCACTCTATGTTTTCAGTTGCTGCAGTTTCAAGAAGCCAATTTCACAAGTACCGTAAGTTATTCCAACAAATCCTTGGTTATTTTTTTAGTCCAGGACTTTCATGAAAATACCTTTTAAATGCTTCATGGATTTCAAACCAGGAGGTGGTTTATGCCACATTTTCCTAACGTGTCTAAAGTTCCGTCACGAAAATAATTGGAAAAAAATTGACTTATCCTCATCATCCAGGACCGAAAAACATCTGGAAATGTTCTCAGTAATCGAACGCGAATTAGTAGCCTACAAATGCATGCAGAAACCTGTTGTTTACATATCCCCCTTGGTTGAAAAGGTTGGTTCCACTCTTTTGTACTTAACTGTTGCTTAGTCAAATGTACTTTAATCCTGAGAGGTGTCAAATAGTCTTTTCACTCACTCAGTATATCTCGAACCTTTTCCCACAAACACTTTAATCAGGAACTTTGGTGAAACTAGAATTTAGGAAAGACTTGTAAGCGACTCCAGAGACCTATAGAAAATTCGGTTACTTAATATGGTCTAGAGGGGTCGAAAATTAGTTTGAAGAGTTGGAATTAACCTTTAAAGTTGGAGGTTAGTGTCAGGAATTAGAGTCACGGTTTTCATCTTGAACTAATATTTAGTGTCAAAATACTGTTGCCGTATTCACGAATGAATCCCAAGCCAAAATATAACACTTGTTATCTTAATCCTGGTTCTTTCGTCCATAAATTATAGTCTTTCTGAAACGTTCATCTATTTGCTATACGGCAAAGCACAAACCTATTGTTATAAAAGAGATCAAGCGTTTTACTCAAATTCTTAGCTTCCACAATCTCCACTGGTTATGTGCCAAAATCGGTACTTGCTGATAAAAACAACGTCATGGCTATTCACACTAACCACTATAGTACATATAAAGTCTTGACTAGCATGTTTCCCATACCTAAGTTAGTGTATGGCTTTTTCAAAAGTTAATTTTGACAAATTTTACCTAAATGTAATCACATTGTCTCGAATTTTTCCTGAGATTCAAACATTTCCGAAAACATCACATTATATCGTTAAGCTATTTGCTATAAGATATCACGTACAGTACTGTAAGATCTGTTGCTTGATTTTGTCTTAAGATGTTGATGCATCTTATACTCTGCAGTCAATGTACATCACTGGTTTGGAACCAGGGATTTCTGACCAACCTAGGTGGATCCTCTATATCCACCAATTAGATTTAAAAACGACACTCACTTCTCGTCCTTTGAATTTTGTGTACAGTACCGCGAAAATGCAGTGAGAACTTTTATTGTCAATGACTGTACACACGTGTTCATGTGAGAGCACTTCAACAAGTAGAGCGGACTTTTCACCATCGACCATACTATAGCATTTGGAACACTTTATTCAGTGTGATGTGTACTTGTTACACTCAGTACGACTAGTGAACGAAAATCGTTCTCAGGGGAAGTTCATAATTTATTTCCAGTCTATCCACAAGGTTTAAAAAATAATGACACGTCATGTTATTAAGTGATTTCCTAAAACTACATCAGTAATGTAGTAATGACAGAATTGATTTTTACATACGGATTTATAAATCATTTGCCTCACTATATTAAAACATTCCCCAAATAAACTGCAAGTTTCTGACTGTTTCATACAAACCTCATTCCCTGTATATTTAGCATGGAATACATCTTCACCTCTTCGTTTCGATACATACTCATGATAGAAGAGAGTTAAAAAGCAATTCCTAACTAGGAAACACTTAATGTGTTGCCGGAAATTTTAATCAGCAATCCAGGAAATAATATGGAAAACGGGTGCTAGGTAAGAGTGGCAGATCAATAGATGAAGTGCTGAAACTTCATCAGTTGAGGTGGTTGGAACATGTGCTGCGTATGCCTAACCACCGACTGCCTCGACGAGCTTTGTTTTGCAGTGTAGGAATAGGTTGGAAGGAAGCTAGGGGCGGCCAAACCAAAACATGACAGAAATCCATGAAGTCACTGACTAGTGGACTGAGTCATGTCGGTAGATGTAGGCTACCACTTGGTTGGGGTCCGCGAGACCATTGTAATCGATGGTTAGAGACCTTGAACCACATGGCTCAAAACCGTTTGCAATGACGCCGGTGCATTTCTTCTTCGTGTTCTCTCAAATTCTAATCTTCTGGATTCTTCAACACCTCTAGTTTTCACTTTCTAAACTTATCTCACTGAATCATACTTCTTGAATAATAATATCTTCTAATCCTAACCTCTCCAATTACTTCAGATACCTTTACTACCTCTACTACTATTGGATTAGAATTGACAATCATATCTCTGTGTGCTGATGTGGTATGGCAACATGAACTGATGTACTTATGTACGAAGTTCTACGTTGCATCTGACTGATTGACTGACTGATGGGATCATTTATTAAAAAAAGTATATCGAAGACTATTCAGTTTACTAAATAGAAATAATCAAAAACAAATCTTTTTTTCTTGATAACTACATACTAAATTATATTGTATCAATATCTTAAATATCACATTGTTACACTTTCCTCTGTAAACCTTAAGGGTGTATTTTCATTTGTTGAAATTATTACTTCATTTTTTTTCTTTTCGAAAACAGACCTTAAATTCTAAACTAAGAGAATCTGCAAAACGATTAAATATCTCTGTTGTTGAATCACCTTCCGAAGCTACACATATTTTGCATCCACCTCCATTGAATTGGCCTGGTGATAGTAGAGATGATTTTATGATTCAACGTTTCCGTGTCTTATTCCATGAAGGTCGAGGAGTACTTCTGCATTGGTTATACTCACCCGGTTCATATACTACATGGTATACAGGTAAGTTCATGAAATGCTGTAAACTATGCATGTACTTATCCATCGCTTTAGTAGTTTGATATCTAATTTTTTTGAAAATAAAACAATGTATTTCCGTTCATAAGTATCTTTTTTCAAAGTATTACATTTATTTATAAAGTTGTCAGTCAGGTAGCTACAATGTGGAACTTCGTACGTGCGTACATACATCAGTTCAAGTTACCATTCCATATTATCATAAAGATGCAATCGTCAATCTAAATCCCATATTAATAAAGGTACTAGAAGCGTAAGCTGTAATCTGGAAGGATTCGAGATATTATTCAAGGAGTATAATCCAGTGAAATGAATTCGAGAATAAAAATAGAAAGCTGATGACGACTGTCTCGCGGACCATAACCAGATAGTCTACACTTACTAACATGACTCATTCCATTTGTCAGTAACTTCATGGATCTGTGCTATGTTTTTGTTTGGCCGCCCTTGGCTTTCTTCCAACCTACCCCCATACACCATAAAACATTGCTCATCGAGACGGTCGATGAAGATTCACTACGTCATTCATTGATCAGCCATCCTCACCTAATACGCTTTTCCTAACACCAGCCTTGCTTACTCAATGATCCCAGGATATACGAACAATGCTTTGGAGATACATATTATAATCTCATTTCATTATTATGTATTTCTATTGGTATCATTCAAATATCACTGTCAGTCAGTCAGTTGCAATGTAAGAACTTCGTACATATGTACATAAGTTCATGTTGCCATACCACATGAGCACAGAGACGCAAATGTCAAATCAAATCCCATAGTGATGGAGATAGTACAGGTATTAATGGTAATGAAGAAGACTAGGGTTTGAAGATATTATTCAAGAAGTATAATTCAGTGAAATAAGGTTAGAAAGACAAAGGTAGAGGTGCTGACGATTCCAGAAGATTAGGATTTGAGAGCGCTCAACGAATGGATACACTTGCGCCATTGTAAACGATTCTGAACCATGTCGTTCAAGGTCTCTAACCATTGGTGACTTTCGGCTCACGGACCCCAACCAGGTAGTCTACATCTACCAACATGACTCAGTCGCTAGTCAGTGATTTCACGGATTTGTGCCATGTTTTGGTCTGGCCGCCCCTAGCTTTCTTTCAATCTATTCCTACACCACAAAACATCACTCGTCGAGGCAGTCGGTGGTTGGCCATACGTAACACATGTCCCAACCACCTCAACTGATGAAGTGTCATTACTTCATCTATTGATTTGCCATCCTTACCTAGCACCCGTTTCCTAACGACAGCATTGCTTACTCGGTTGTCCCATAATACACGAGTAATGCTTCGGAGACATCACTGTATTATGATATTTCTCTTCTTGTTGTTATCTGCAACGGAACCCCAATGTCTTCAGTTCCTCCTACGTAACATTTTCTTTCCACTTTTCTCTTTTCATTTCAAAATAAATATTTATAAATTGTTTATTTTCTTTGCGCGTATCAAGGTTTACAATCTGAATGGTCTACTGACATTGTTGAAACATCATATCTTGAAAATGACAATCCATGGGAGGTAGATGCTCGTTGGCTTTTATATTCCGATGAAATGTATGAATGGATGATTGAAGAGGATTTTTTAACATCAACCTCATCTGTCAAGCCTAGAATAACTTATACACGTAAGTTAACCCATGATAACTTATTTTCTTTTTTTGAAACCATGAATCGATCAGTGTTAGACCACCATCAGAAACCTGCAAGCACTGGACGGCCGTTTCGTCCTGGTATGGGACTCTTCAGCAGTGCGCATCCACGACTCCTGCACCTCGCAGGATTCGAACCCAGGACCTTCGGTATTGTGCGCGAACGCCCTAACCATCGGACCACTGAGCCGGTATCACAGTGCCTAACTCTCTCTCTCTCTCTCAACATAATCAATCTAGTAGAATACAGAAACAACCCCTCTAATCCCCCTATTGATGATCATGATAGAACTTGAAAATTTGGGATTCGAATTAAGTGTTGCTGAATTGAAAATGATGTAAGATTATACTTCACAGTAGACTACTCATATAGACTACTTACTCAGTGTAAAACTTAATACCAATCGTTTATTTTTTTAAATACTGACTATTCAAGATTGGAATACATTGGCACTTGAACTAGTGATAGAGGGAGTGAAGTATTCGTCGAATGTGTAGACCGCTTCACTTAGCTTGGGAGTCTGACCAGTGCTGATGGCTTGGTGACTGACGAAATCTTAGCACGGATACAGAAAGCGTGCGAATACATGAAGCATAAATCGTGACGGTTCTTTATTTTGATAGGGTCAAGTCAGATGAGTAACTCTATTTGGATTCTGTAAGTACGTTTCGAAGACCTAGCATACAGCGATTGCACGAGATTCCAGCTAGGGAAACCTGTTTTCCTATTTGGCGCAGGGTCCGAACATTAAAAGCTACATGTTATGTAGAATGAGGAATAACGTTTCGTGTACCCAAATCGTTGTCATTAACGGCATGAGATGATAAAGCTATCTTAGGAGGGTTACTCTTTGAGATAAAAGTGTTAATTAGAAGTTGATGAAGGATTTGATCGTGAACAAGTTGATCTCGTGTATTGTTATGGGTACTTCCCTGTCGCCTGCACCGTGGAAGGGTGTTTATTGGGGAACCTGAAAAAAGATGGGTTAGCGTTAGTTTTATTGAGTTGGGAGTGTGACATTACATGGCAAAGGACAACTGCTTAAGGCCGGTGGCTCACGGCCTTTCTATATAAAGCTTTTATATTTTACAATTCCCTACCTCTGGGGACGGAAATCATTTGTGAAAGAGTAGTAGTGACATTTTTAGGGTTGACCTTTTCTAACCCGTTCCTTCCGTTGTCAGGAGATAACATTGCTGCACATCCACATGTCCTGCTACTGACAGTGTTCAAACCCAAGACCTTCGGTCTTGCACGAGAACGCTTAACCTCTGAACCACTGAGCCGGCATCCAATAGTGTTAATGTTTAACTCTCATTAATCTAGCGATTTTGCGCAACCTTACTCATAAGTCTTCAATAGGTGACTGCCTCAGTCAGTCAATCAGATTCCACGTAGAACTTCGTACGTAAGTACATCAGTTCATGTTGCCATACCACATCAGCACACAGAGATGTAATTGTCAATTCAAATCCAGTAGTAGAAGAGGTAGTAAAGGTATTAGAAGTAATCGGAGAGGTTAGGATTAGAAGATATTATTCAAGAAGTATGATTTAATGAGAAAAGTTTAGAAAGTCAAAACTGGAGGTGTTGAAGAATCCAGAAGATTAGGATTTGAGAGAACATGAAGAATAAATGCACCCACGCCATTGCAAACGGTTTTGAGACATGTCATTCAGGGTCTCTAACCATCGATTATTATCATCTCGCGGACCCCAACCAGGTAGTCTACATCTGCCAACATGACTCAGTCCACTTGTCTGTCAATGACTTCATGGATTTCTGCCATGCTTTGGTTTGGCCGCCCCTAGCTTTCTTCCAACCTATTCCTACATTACAAAACAAAGCTCGTCGAGGCAGTCGGTGGTTAGGCATACGCAGCACATGTCCCAACCACCTCAAATGATGAAGTTTCATTACTTCATCTATTGATCTGCCATTCGTACCTAGCACCCGTTTCCTAATAACAGCGTTGCTCACTCGGGTGTCCCAGTATATACGAGCAATGTTTCGAAGACACCTATGATCGAAAACCAGTAACCTACGAATATCTTCTACTCTCACTGGCCATGTTTCACAGCCATAAAGTAGGACGGGGCGAACTGCTGCGCAGTACACTCGTCCTTTAGTCAGCAAACGCATATCTCGTCTACGCCATAAATGACACAGTTTGGCAAAAACCAATCGAGGTTTCTGTATCCGAGCTGAGATTCCGTCAGTCATCAGGCCATCAGCAGTGATGAGACTCCCGAGATAAGTGAAGCGGTCTACACGCTCGACGACTACTTCACTCCCTCTATCACTAGTTCAGGTGCCGATGAAACCCAATCTTGAAGCAACAGTTTGCATTTCGAGGGTGAGCACCGCATCCCGAACATGTTTGCATTATTGCCCTGGGGTGGCCAGAAGACTCTACATTTTTTTTCAGCGTCTTCACCAAGTAGGACTATGTCGTCGGCATATTGTTAGAGGCGGTGACTGCCTACACCCAACAGGATTGACGCCTACTGGTTATGTCGTTTGTTTTGTGTTTATAAATCCCCTTTTACCATGATGCTGTTAACTATTCATTCGTTTTGTTTAATTTCTATTCAAGCTGAAGAATTCATGACTATGACAACAAATATTACAACCAATTCTTCATCGTCTTCATCTTCATCTACTTCTGTGACACATTATACAAATGCATCCTATCCATCCAACACTGGTGTTAGTCATATTGATAGTGCCGGCGGCGGTGGTAGTGCCGGTGGTAGTGGTGGTGGAAGTAAGAAAAAACGTCGTCGATCACCTTCACCATCAACCACAACATCATTAGATTCAAATATGGCCAATGTTAACAACAGTGGTAGTGGTACTAGTAGTAGTAGTAAGAAAAGACGACCTGGTTCATCCACATTTACCAGTTCACATGAACGATCGAATCGTGCATCCAATAATCATCATCATCATCATCATCATGGTACATCGCGTAGAATTCGAAAAGAAGTAAGTTAGTTAGTTTGTTTATGTATTTATTCGTTTGATTCAATGGGTCCGATTCTTGGATGATAAATCGTAGCAAATACACACAAGGTAGGAGTAGTTCGATACTAGTAAAACAAAAATAGTCATCTAGTGCTTTTAGATTTTTTCTTGATGGTGTCTAACTGTTGTAACGCTGCTACGTATGGCGGCTATTCAATCCTAGCGGCGTCCAATTCAAATATTACAATACCGACCCAAAATGCTATTTCCAAATCTCCTAGATATCAGATGGAGTTGTTTATTGGGTCGAACACAGAAGAGAGGAGGTAGGCAGGAGAAACGGAATTGGAATCCGAATCGGATAGTGCGTATTTATACATTAAGGTCGAATAAGAAAAAGCACCAACGTCCGTGACATTGACAGTCCAGATGATGACCAATAAGAGACAACATTGAAGTATTTGACCTTGACGGTTAGAACGATCATAATTTCGGCCAATAGAAATCGACCAATAGGATTGTACTTCTAAAAAATAGTATTCTTAGGATATTTGGTGAATATCCTAACACTAACTATAAGATCATTTCGTAATTTTTTTTAAAATGAATGCTTTCAGTTTATTTATCATCATCTGAATGTCGATAATACTGCATTTAAGCTCCTAAATGTCCTGCTCACGGATGAAACTGAAAAGAGTACGCTCTCTCTCGGAATTCTCTCTCAACATAACTTTGCGCTTGTATAGTCACTTATAATAAAAATTCTACCTACTACTTTTTCATGGTAGTAGTGTTGTTTGACAAATTGAAAAAATAAAACAAAAAGTCAGTGTCCGATGCTTAAATCGGGTTAGTTGGAAATCGCTTAAATGCATGTTGACTGCAGGATGTTGAAGGGACGACTAGCGTATGAACTTATTGTTGTTGACCAGGTACTATAGGATTGTATCTCTTTACCGTTGCTTCATTCTACCTTTTGGGCTAGACTTGTAGATTAAAGGTTTGGGTAGAAAGTTACCTGTTTCATTTTGCTTACTCAGAAAGTAAGTAGTGATATTAATAGTTGTT